AAATTACCCAAGCATCTATCCAGTCTCTCAAAAATACAATCTTCTTCTGATCTTCCATTCCACCAGGTGTAAATACTCCCTTTGAAACCCAGATCTGTGAGGTTGCAAGTATTAATGCAATGCCTAAAATCATCAATCTCATTTAAATGAACAGGGAGCCCACCAAACTTTTCCTCCTCATCCCATATAACATTGAAATCCCCTCCCACAAGCCAAGGAGAAGTCATATCAGTAGCCATTGCATAAAGAGAATCCCATAGTTCTATCCTCTCTATTGCATCACATTTAGCATACACTAGAGTAAGTATAAGCTCTATATGAGTTTCTGTGTGAAACAGTTTCAGAGTCAACTGTTGAGTCATGTTGTACAGAATTGTCACCTCATACACTTCATCTATGAATGCCCATATTTTATTAGATACATTAACCACAGCCTGAGCCAAACCAATTCTTGCCCTGTATCTCTCCATTTTGTTTGACTGTTGCATAGGTTCTAATATTCCAATGAATTCAAAATGATGCTGCCTGTGCATTAAGATCAGTCTTTCAAAAGCTTGCATTGTATTCACTGATCTTACATTCCAAATTATTGCCTCCATTACTGATTTTGATTTTTAGATAAAGTCCTCCTGGTTTGTACACCTACTGCTGGAACAGTTGATGTTTTCTACCTTTATTTGCAGATTTTGCTTGCTCAATATACCTAGGTGAAAGATCTCCTTGTTTTGCTATATTTATAAAGTTCTGAGCAGTTGACTCCTCATCCATATCTTTGCCATTATGTTCTGTAATTTGCTCTTGTTCCTGGATCTTCTTGGTCTCTTGAACAACTACATTATTAGTACCCTTTGGAACAATAACTGCTGCATCAACACCCTGCAAATTGGTCTTCTGAACATGTGTAAGGGCCAATGGATCTATGCTTCCAGTTAACTCCTGCATCTGCTTCTTTTTGTTCACTTCTGCTGCTTCTCCTTCATTAGCATCTACCACCTTTAAACCCTGCTGGGATTGCTGTATAACCTGATCCTTGTTGTTCTTATGGAGTGGTATGGAGTCTGTTTTTGCACTAGAGATACCAATAGGGTGTGTTCCCCTTGGATCTATATTGCTAGCCTCCACCTCTTTAGTTGCCACAGTCTCCTTGTTTTGCTGCTGTAGGTCTACCTCACCAGTTGTAGTCAATAAACCTTGGCCTTCAGCAGTTGATTTGCCTTTGGCATTTCCATTTACACTTTGTTCTTCATCATCTACTCCTCCAGTTTCCTCTTCACTTTGCATTTCAGGTGGAATCTCCCCTTCTCCTGCATCCTCCTCTGCTTGTTCTGACCATAGCTTACCTCCCTTCCAGTTTAGCTTTTCACTACTTTGAAATATTGCAAGTTCTGAGTCCACAATATGATCTTTATCATTGAGTTTTGCAAGTTCCTGCTCCACTTTAGTGTCTTGTGATGGAATATCATGAACAGAGGTGTTAATACCAACATTCCCTATAAATGCTCTTTGTACCCATGCTGTAGTTGATTCCTTAACTTGCTGCTCATAGGCCATCTTTTCCTTGTTATTTGCTTCATCTCTTTCTCCCTGTTTAGTAGCAGCTGCTGGTGAAAAGCTAGCAGCTGGCACAACAGTTGTCACCTTCTTTTCCCCCTTTTTTCCTTTGCCATTCCCAGGAGCTGTGCTAACTTTGTTTTTATTCTCTTCCATCTCTTTCTGCTTGTTGATTCCTGCTGGATTTACACTAACAGCTGGCATGTTCTTTGTGTTATTTGTCCCATCATTCCTTCTCTTTGTATTCCCAGGAGAGGTGGGTATAAATGCTGGTGCTACAGGATTCAAAATTCCTGTTCCCTTTGACACAGGTACNTTGACTGTTGCATAGGTTCTAATATTCCAATGAATTCAAAATGATGCTGCCTGTGCATTAAGATCAGTCTTTCAAAAGCTTGCATTGTATTCACTGATCTTACATTCCAAATTATTGCCTCCATTACTGATTTTGATTTTTAGATAAAGTCCTCCTGGTTTGTACACCTACTGCTGGAACAGTTGATGTTTCTTTTGCCTGCTTCTTTCTACCTTTATTTGCAGATTTTGCTTGCTCAATATACCTAGGTGAAAGATCTCCTTGTTTTGCTATATTTATAAAGTTCTGAGCAGTTGACTCCTCATCCATATCTTTGCCATTATGTTCTGCAAATTGCTCTTGTTCCTGGATCTTCTTGGTCTCTTGAACAACTACATTATTAGTACCCTTTGGAACAATAACTGCTGCATCAACACCCTGCAAATTGGTCTTCTGAACATGTGTAAGGGCCAATGGATCTATGCTTCCAGTTAACTCCTGCATCTGCTTCTTTTTGTTCACTTCTGCTGCTTCTCCTTCATTAGCATCTACCACCTTTAAACCCTGCTGGGATTGCTGTATAACCTGATCCTTGTTGTTCTTATGGAGTGGTATGGAGTCTGTTTTTGCACTAGAGATACCAATAGGGTGTGTTCCCGTACCTCCCTTCCAGTTTAGCTTTTCACTACTTTGAAATATCGCAAGTTCTGAGTCCACAATATGATCTTTATCATTGAGTTTTGCAAGTTCCTGCTCCACTTTAGTGTCTTCTGATGGAATATCATGAACAGAGGTGTTAATACCAACATTCCCTATAAATGCTCTTTGTACCCATGCTGTAGTTGATTCCTTAACTTGCTGCTCATAGGCCATCTTTTCCTTGTTATTTGCTTCATCTCTTTCTCCCTGTTTAGTAGCAGCTGCTGGTGAAAAGCTAGCAGCTGGCACAACAGTTGTCACCTTCTTTTCCCCCTTTTTTCCTTTGCCATTCCCAGGAGCTGTGCTAACTTTGTTTTTATTCTCTTCCATCTCTTTCTGCTTGTTGATTCCTGCTGGATTTACACTAACAGCTGGCATGTTTTTTGTGTTATTTGTCCCATCATTCCTTCTCTTTGTATTCCCAGGAGAGGTGGGTATAAATGCTGGTGCTACAGGATTCAAAATTCCTGTTCCCTTTGACACAGGTACTGCATTCATAGTCTCCACCAAAGCTAATTGATTGTTGGCATTGTCATCACTTTCCTCCACTTCTAATATGGCAAAATTATTATCAGTTTGCACCTGATCTCTTTTCTTATCAGCTGGAACCATATCTTGAACACTCCTTTTATTAATTTCTTGTTTGCCTGTTATACCTCCCTTCTGCTGATCAACTGGAACCATTGTTTTTCCATTAGTGGTCTCATCACCTATCTGTTTCTCTTTACCTTGTACTCTTCTCTTCTTAACTTCTTTCCATTGTGCAACTTGGTTTCCCACCACTTTACCACTTGATAGGATCATTAAAGGCGCAGTAAGCTTGTTACCTTGGGATACTGTATCTGTATTATGTTGTTTCTCCTCAGTTCTATTTGCCATAAGTTCAGGGTGCAACCTCCAGCACTCAAACATGTCATGACCCTGCAATTTGCATTCTTTACAGTACTTTGGCAAATAGTCATAGTTTATGTTTACCCATTCTGTTCTAATATCTCCAGTATCTTCATTCACAATGTCCATGCGTACCTTCTTAGGCAGGTCAGATAAAAGGTCAATCAAGACCTTCACTCGAGCACAACTAGGCCTAGTTTTATTGACAGTAGCTTGATCAAGATGCAATGGTTTTCCAACTGCTGATGCTAATGAAAACAAACACTCTTTAACAAAGTAAGTTGGCAGCAAATTAGGGAAAGAAATCCAAGCCATGACCTTGGGTGTTTCCTCACCTGCTTTGAATTTAGAATCATAAATAAGAGTTCTCATCTGATATTCCTCACCATACTTATCTTTAATATAATAAACTCCTTTGGATGAGAAGTCTACAAAATCTTGCCACAATGTGAGTCTAATCAAAATATGCCTATCTCGTAAGTATCCAATTTTGCATTCACCCTTAATACCACATTGAATTGGAACAATGCGACGTATTTCATTAAGATCAGGCCAACCATAAGAAAATTTACAAACCACTGCATATTGTAAACCTTCAATTTGATTCATACGCTCAACTTCTGCTTCTGTAAAACAGATTGTAGGCTGGCCTTGAAAGAATTATGCACGACGTAACGTAATAGGCTCAATATTAGGATTTCGTTCATGACTGCCAGTAGCTTTCGTAACTGGGCGCACAGCATTAGCATAATTCATAGGTTGCGGATTGTTATTAGTTGTCGGTGGGGGCTGGGGTAGTTGTTGGGGGGTG